GTGCACTAAGAACCCAGGAAATTCCTGCCCTCTCCACATTCTTTTAGATATTTCAGGTCAGGACAGCTCAGGTGTTCATGTATGGATTGTGCTGGGGGTGGGGGGGAGTTTGGGAGGAGACCTGGAACCATGCTGGGGGCTGCTGTTGTTGTAGATAACTCACCAGCCAGCTTCCATCCTAGCCCAAACCCCACCATCAATAAGTCTCATCTGTGAAATGCCATGAGGCAGGAGTTCTTCTCTTTGGAGGACATTCCTCTTTCTGGGATGCTCAGGGTGGTTGCCATGAAATTGCTGACCCACCCAGAGGGCTGATGAATGTCAGAAGAAGGATGGATCTGTTATTTCTGCTGTGTTGCACTGGAGTGGGCTCTGTGCACCCTCCGTGGGGACTCCTCAGCTCTCGCTCGGCAAGTGACCTGAGTGAGCATTTCTCAGCCCGCGCTGTGTCAGCATTAACTTGTCCTACCTCCAGATGACTGTGTCCTGCAAAGTCTTACTGTTGATCAAATTATGCCGGGTCTGAAATCATCCCCTGCTCTCTCCCCACTCTTTAAAACAGGACTCAGGCTAATTTGGAGCTTTATTTGCATAGGGACATAAGAACAAGGGTGCCAGATGGACCAAACGATGCTCAGCCCAGCATCCTGGTACGTGTCCTGCGAAGGAGCACAAGTGGAAATTACAGGCTATATACCCAATTCTCTCTAAGACCAAAGTGGTATCATTTTTTTAAATAGCATTCAATTCCCTCATCCAAGTCATTGATAAAGATATTAAGCAGAATTGGCCCCAGTACTGAGTCCTTGGGAACACTTGTGACCGGACGCCAACTGGATTTAACTCCATTCACCACAGCTTTTTGAGCTTGGCCATCCAGCCTGTTTTTCACCCTATGGAGCATATACCCATCCAAAGCCATCAGCAGACAGCTTCCCCAGGAGAATGCTGTGGGAGATGATGTCAAAGGCTTCACTAAAGTCAAGGTAGGCAACACCCACAGCCTTTCCCTCTTCCACTGAGCGGGTCACCTTGTCATAGAAAGAGATGAGGTTAGTCAGGCAGCACCTGCCTTTCATAAACCCATGCTGACTGGGTCTGATCACCTGCTGTCTGATCACTTGCTGTCTGATCACCTGATCACCGTGCCTCATGTTGGCATTTAAGATAATCTGCTCCATAACCTTCCCCGATACCGAGGTCAGACTGACAGGCCTGCAGTTCCCTGGATCCTCCTTCCGGCCCTTGTTGGAGATGAGTGTCACATTGGCTAACCTCCAGTCAACTAGGACATCCCCAGTTATCCAGGACTGCTGATAGATGACGGAAAGTGGCTTGCTGACCACTTCAGCCAGCTCCCTCAGCACCTTTGGATGGATCCCATCCGTCCCCATAGGCTTAAGTGTGTCCAAGTGGTGTAGCAGGTCACTAACCATTTCCCCTTGGATTATGGAGGCTTAATTCTGCTCCCCTTCCCTGTCTTTCAGCTCAGGGGGCTGGCTCTGTGATACCTTGTAAGAAAAATTATCTCTTTTTTCATCTCTTCGTGGTTCACAGGCAGAAAATAAACCTGTAGCATCTTTGAGACAATACTGACAGTACAAGAACAGATCATGGGATATTCCCAGGGAGAGTTACTGAACAGCAACTCTCTGTAAGTCCTTACTGCAGCAAAGGGATTCAAGTAAAGCTGTTTTAAACATCCTGTTTTGGTAATGTGGTAAAATGCCTGTATTGATTCAAATGGCAAAGCAGAGAAGAAAGACCCATGGGAGAAACAGTGGGACTGAGATGTACTAGCAGCATTGCTGCCAGAAAGCATTGTCCTCAAGACATTAAAATTCACATTTCTGGTCTGCCTGGGCACATTTAGAGAGAAACACGTTTTCTCAACCACACACTGAGTGCGAGATGTTTGGCTTGAGCTCCTTTGAGGAAACCATATGTGTTCACCAGCCAGAGCCGTGTCTGCTCCTGATTCCTCGAAGGGTCAGGGGTCCCTTGAATCCCTACCAAAGAACCTGGCATCCAAAGCAAGGAGCTTGTTTGGCCTGGAGGACCCTCAGATGTCTTCTCAGCCCTAAATATAAAGAGATCTTTTATCACATAGGAGGGGAAAAGAAGCTGCTTTCTCAAATGCCGAGGTTTCACCTCACTCGGAGCCAGCGTGAGTCACCCAGGCACTGCTGCGTTACACAGACCCATTCAGGTTAATAAAATCAGTGCCAGAGCCCGGGCGGCTCACGGGATGCTGTGTGGCTTTCACATTGACGTCACTGCTTCTCATTTACCCTTGGGTGATAGTGACCGAAATTCATTACTACCTGGCAGCCGTCGGGTACGCCGTGCAAAATAAATCAGTGTTCTCCATCGCAAACAGGTGTCTGCAGCACAAAAGGAGCCATTCAAATCAGCGGAGCAGGAAGGGATTTTTCATCAGAGGAGCGAAGACTTGAATGAGTCGTTAGAGTGAGGGGAATTCACAGGCAAAGAGTGATAACGGGGAGAGGCGGGGGGGGATTTCGCTATAGAAACAGTGGAGAAGCGGTTGGAGCATGGAGTATAGGGAGAAAGCAACCAAGGGAGACAAAGACCTGTTAAAGTGAACAATTTGACTTTATTATAGGAAAACAGGGACATGGAATGAAACTGGAAAATACATTTAAAAATGTGAAGAGGAGCTGAACTTGCCCAGTGGAAGTGGCCCTTGCCACAGTATGTCTTGGAGGTCCGGAGCACTGTAGGGCTGGAGAAAGGCGTGGGCATCTCCATCAGGATGGGAAGGCACGTTCAAGAGAACACACAGTCCCTGCTTTTTCTGCTTCTGTGGAGGATATGGAGGCTGTCAGGGTGGGATGCAGGCAACAGCACACGAGCTGAAAAAAAAAAAAAATGTCCTCTGGGATACTTTAAGGTGTGGATTTCTTTCACCTTTGACTGCATCATCTGATCTTGGCCATTTTCAGGGCTGGGACACCACATGAGACAGAGCTGATTGGCATCTCCATGGTCCTTTCTTTGCAGTTTATTCAGGGCAGGATTAAATACATTGGTCAGTGAAATGTAGGGAAGTTTCAATATTGTGTCACTTCTGGTCTAGGGTTGGAGAACATCTGTTTCCAGGACCTGGAGTCAGTGGGTATTTGGAGCAAGTTTTTAATGCTTCTCAGCTTGGTGCATTTTTCCAGCCCTAAAAATATGCCTTGAAAGAGGAAATAAAATCTTGACAGGTTTTTCTCCACAGCTACTAAAAGATCAAGCAGCATACTTCTATATCACTTGCAAAAATGCAGATGTTCTCATCTCCCAGCACACATAAAAGCCATTTCTCACCCAAAGTAAATCTGTGCAGTTGTAATTTCTTTCTTGTTCACACAAAAAGAGAATACAAATTGCAGATGGCACTGCCTGTTAAGGAGGAACCTTTTGTTTTCCGGGCAGATCATTAGTAACATAAAATGTTATTGTGTGATCACTACAAAGGTGGGAATCCTCTTGGGTTGAAAGGCTATTTTTTTGTCTCTATTCTTTTTTGTGAGCAAAAATCTCCCTAGAAGGCAGAAAGGTATTATCTGAAACTTAGATTTCCCAGAACATGATTCCCTTGTTCAGTAATAAAAAAGAAGCCCCAAATCATCAAAAGTCTGAGTTCCATTAACTGCAAAATCCTCTCCCAGGGAGGCTGCTGTGTTCGTTCTGGAGCTCGCTAAGAGGAGAGCTCTGCTGCGCCGGGGTCTGGTACGCACATAGCGGGGGCACGGGCTCTTCTGTCATCAAAGGATGTGCATCCCCTCACACTTAGCACTGGGCATGCACAGGGAAGAGACTGATCTCTAGTTTCAGTCCAGCCTTTTGGGTATTTGTTGTATTTGTTTTTTCTCCTACCTGTTGCCTGTTCTGATGTATTTTCACTCAGCTCTTTGGGAGAAAGGTTTCCTTTCCTTATGAATACAGATCCAGTGCTCAGCACAATAGAATTCTCAAGCTTTAGTGAGGCCTTTCGATGCTAACGTAATAAAAAAATAAAATTTATTTATCAAGGCTTCCTTTAAAGGACATGATGGAAGAAATAGGTTTTAACCTACTTTTGATCCTCAGGAAAAGCAAGCACTTTGATTCTCTCCTTCCCTGACAAATAGCATTGCATTAGTTGATTCTGATTTTATTAGCTATAAACCACTTTCTATTTTTATTTTCACATACCATTGACTTTGTTTGGTAGAAGCACAGCTGAACAAGAGCTGGTTTTTCAAGTGCAAATCATGTTAATAGATGCCCGGTTCTTTCCACTCCACCTGCAGGAACACAGCTGTAAGAAAGCAAGCTGATGCCCAAAGAATATTTTCCAATTGCATTTCCTAATTCACTTCCAAGGCCACATTATCCCTTCTGAATTCCCAAATGTGGAGAGGTGATGGTTGCTTTAGTACTTCTGGCACTGTCTCTTCACCTCAGGAGAATTTATTTGCATGGAGGAGTGAAACAATAGGATCAGACAATGAAATCTCAAGTGGTAAAGTGTGTGAAATTCTCCACTGCTATTACTTTTTATGATACTGTTTCTAGCATTTCTTCTTTGCTTGCAACTACAACTGGCAGATTTGGAGCACAGTGCCTCTTCTTGCTGCTTTTTACCAGCACAAGGTGAGCAGCAGCAAGCAGTCAAATCGTTGCTGTATCCAAACTGCATCTCTGCATTCAGAGATGGAGCTGCAGGGAAAGCCCACTCGTTGGGAAGTTGGTCTGTCTGATGTGACTGTTGACTGGACAACAGGTGACACATCTGCTTGTCCTCAGTAAAAATCATTTGTCTTAAAACTTGATCTGAGTCAAAATACTTCATCTTTTTCTCTTGTTAATTCCCTGTCTCTGTATTTTTGAACTGGTGGTGGGAGTGATTAGAAGAAAGTTTTTTCCATCATTAAAATATCTGGTTCAGAAAGACCTCCAAAGAGTCATTAAATGCAGATGAGGGTATGAGGTGTACTTCCTGAGCAGAATTACAAGGAAGTGTTCTCACTGGAGACAGTGTTCAGAGGTGGATGCTGGCAGGAGTTCAACTGTCCACACTTGTTCTCACTGCCATGACCTCCCCGATATCTCCTGCTCATGGCAGGGGTGGCAGAGGGTCCTTTCCTTGAAGGCTCTGTTGAACTCCGGTAAGAGAGCAGCTCTGGGACCGAGGAACGGGTTGTCCCTTCGGACAGTGAGAAGTTAAAGAGGGAGACCATTCTTTGGTGGTATTTACTCTTCATTTCCTTGGCTGACCTGTAGAGGTTCCCAACAAAGCAATAGCATATAGGGTTGAGACTGGAATTGGTGAGGCCAAGCCACTGGGCAAAAGGTCTGAGCTGCAGGATCCAAGGGGAAGGAGTCACATCCTGCAGAGATTTGGGGATGTTGAAATCAATCCAGATGTCCATAAGGTAGACGGGCAGCCAGGAGATTGCGAACAGCAGGACCAGGGCTACCACCATCTGCGCCACCTTCTTGCGGATCTTCAGCCTGGAGGCTGGCAGAGATCTGTTCAGGGCAGTGCTCTCCTTCAGCTGGCTGCTGCGGCTCCACAGCCGACGCACCGTGAGGAAGCAGATGACCATGTTGAACAGGACTGGCAGGCAGTAGAGAGCACAGAAAAGCAGAAAGTTGTAGGCTTGCTTGAGCCTCTCCTGAGGCCAAATCTCCCTGCAGATGGAAAACACCAGAGGCAAGCCCTCAACCACCCCAATCTCATCCCGTTTGTTCATGAAGATGAGGGGCATGCATATCCCTGAGGACAGCAACCACACCACCAGGATGGTGCTGAGGATCCTCTTCTGGGTGAAGAAAGACCGGGCGTTGAGTGGGTTGTGCACACTGTAGTATCGGTTTACGCTGATGACGGTCAGGCTGAGGACGCTGGCGGAGACAGAAACAGCTTGGATGAAGGGCACTGCCCGGCAGAGGAAGTCCCCGTACACCCAGGCTTTGTAGATGAGGTTGCCCACGGTGATGGGCATGCAGACACACACCACCATGAGGTCACACACTGCCAGGTTGATGAGGAGGCTGCGGGTGGCACTCAAGCTGGACACCCTACTCCGGCGCTTCCGGGTGAGCACCCTGATGGACATGATGTTGCCCACGAAACCCACCACAAAGGACACCAGGTACATTGCTGTGAGGCTGATGGTGACGGGCTCCTTTGCAAAGAGAAAGAGCATCTTCTCCAGCTCTTCCCAGCCCAGCTCCTGGCTTCCATTCCAGAGCCCGCCTTGGGTCTGGTTCTCCTCCTGCCAGAGCTGCAGCGGGCCGAGGGGGTGCCCGGGGGCGGGTTGGGAGGAATTCATGGCTGTGTCCCCCCAG